GCTATATTCTCGTCGCCCCATTTCCAAAGCCTCACCAACCTCTCCCCCTACTATGCCTCCTGCCATCCAATTCCTCCTCTTGCTTCCACTTCCGCACCTCCTTTCCGCTTCTCCACTTGTTCCCCGTTATCCATTCATGCGCATTGTCACCCACTCAACCACACACTCACATCCACGTCACTCCCTCATCTGCTCCTCCCCTTTCCCCCTCTTCCCCCTCTTCTCCCTCTTCCCCCATCCCAGGTCGCCCCCCCCTCGCCGCCGCTCCTCCCCCGCGCGTCGGCCCTCCCCCCCTCGCCGCTCGCCCCCGGCTCGTCGCTCCAGCCCAGGCCCAATGCGCCGCCGCTCCCACTCCCGCACACGCTCGCGCTCCCCGCCCTCTCGACGCCAGCGCCTGCCACCACCACCACCCACCCGCAGGTCTGCTCCCCCACCTCTTCCTTCCACCTCCTTGCTCCCCACCTTTTCCTCCCACTCCTATGCTCCCCACCTCTTCCTCCCACTCCTATGCTCCCCACCTCTTTCCTCTTTCCAGATGCTTTTGTTTGAGCTCATCCCATCCCTCTCCTCACTCCCCATCCACTCTCCCGCTCTCTCGTCTGCTCACTCCCTGTCCCTCCCCTCATCTTCTCCCTCCAGCCTAGCATTTCACTCATTCCTGTCCTTGTGCCTTACGCTCCTCTATCCTCAATCGCGTGACTCCCTCCGTGTCTTTGTGTCCCCCGTGCAGGCCGGATCGCTCCCCTCCGCCCAAGAGGGCGCGGTCAGAGTCGCCCTCGTCCTCCTCCGCCACTTCCTCGTCCGACGGCGACCGGCGCCGGGTGAGTGAAAGGGGGAAGGGTGGGGGGAGGAGAGGCACATCTGGGCTTGAGATTGGGGTGGGTGTGTTGCAGCACTGCACGGGGAAGGGCGGATGGGGGGAGCGGGTTGATCCTGGCGAGATGTGGCTGTTCTGTGCAGTGTGGGCCATGATTGGCTGGGAATCTTGACAGACTGGTGCTGCCTGCCTACACGCATGGAGGTTTCTCAACTGCGTGCTCTTGAATGTACCGCTTTCCGTGCTCCTCTTCTCATCCATTCCCCGCCTTCCACTGCAAACATTGCCCTGCCCCCTTATCCTGGTGTGCAGAGGTCGCCTCCTCGCAAGCGGGCAGCCAAGAGCAGCCCCAGCAGGTGAGCCGTGAGAGCTCTGGAGTGCAGCTGAATAACGGAGGAGAAGCAAGAATGAGTGGGGGAGAGGAAGAGAGGGAGTGACGGTGCGTGTGAGTCCAGCCTCTCTGCAGGGTCCCTCGCCCAGCACGCTTCAATCAGGCGCCTGATCCCCTCAGGGCACCCCGCTGGTAGTTAGGGGGAGTTGTTTTTAGGGGAAAAGAGGCGGGTGGGCATACACAGGGAGGAGCGATTGGAGGTGCTGTTCGCCTGAGGTGCCGCAATGTTGGTTTGAAGCGCAAGCAGGGCATGCCATGGCCATGCCATGCGGCAAGCTCGTGCCATGCAAGCATTTACTTCCCTCTTGGCCTACGACGTGCCATTCTATTCCTCTTGCTCATGCAATGGGCCATAACTCTTTCTCGCTGCCTTTCCCCCTTTCCCCCTGAAAAAAGGCGTGGCAGTGCTCTGACTGGCAGCGCACAGCACGCCATGCCATGCCATCCCCCCCTTGAGCTCTCTCTGCTCCCGTCTCATGCCTCTCTTCCCCCCTCCTCCCTCCGCCCCTTCCCCCATGGCCCTCGTGACTGATCGCATGACGCCATGGCAGGTCCAACAGCTCGCGCTCCTCCAGTGACTCTGACTGACCCGCCTTCACGCATGTGTTGTTAAGGTGAGTGCGATGACGGGATACGAGAGGGAGGAGGGAGAAGGGAAAGGGGAGAGCAGGGAGAGGGGAAGGTAGTAGGGAGGGAAGGGGTGGTTGGGGAGGGGGGAATGCATGTCGTTTGCAGGGATTGCAATGACAGCAATTGTTTGTATGCCCATTGCCCACATACTTCTTCAGCGTTTGTTTGTGTGCCCACATACTTCTTCAGCCCTTCGTGATTCCTCTCCTCTCCCCCTTACCTCCATTTCCCAACATCGCAGGCTGACGCTGCCATTGCACTGCTTCTGTCATGCCATGTCATTACATGTGTCAGTGGTTGGTACCATGTGTCTGCATGTCTGTCAGCCTGTGATGCATGTGTCTCTTGCACCATGGTTGCTGCATCTCCATTCCTGCACCATGTGAAAGTTGGTTTCACATGTATGGCATCACCAACTTTCCCATTCCAGGTTTGCATGTCATGCACCTGCATTAACACCCATTATAGAAGCACCTCCATTTGCTATCACATTTCTTGGTTGCTCCCATCATCAGCATCATGCTGCACTTCCATGGATTGCTGTTGCCATTTGACTATCCCCATCATCACTTGCACCATGTCCTGCATTCACAAACCACTTGACGACCACAGCCCTTATCTTTGCTCCTACCTACCACGCTGCCCTGCGTGCGTGCCTACTCTCCGCCATCTGTGCTATTTGGTGGCTGGCCTAGGTTTTAGATTACTCATCACTTTTTCTACAGACTTCCATGTGTGGCCATACGAGCAATTAGGCATTGTAGTATTGATTTGTGAATCCAATTATTAAAGTAGAAGCTAAACATTTTCTTTTGTCACTACGTTAACCTTGGGCTCTCCTGAGGATGCACCCAGAGGTGAGGAATCCACTGCGGCCTACTAGTTCACTGCACAGTGACTATCATTCTCATACTATCAGAAAGCATCTGTCAGGCGCATAGATGCTAGAATCCATTAGTACCATTCTGACTTGAGTTCTACCTAGTAGTGAAGGTATTCAATCTAGGATTCTATAAGAAACAGTCCAATATTCCAGTGTTCAACAAGTGTTCCAAGAGTGGCTTGTTCATGAATTTAACCAGGTGCGGGGTGAATAGCAGGACGTGTGTGATTCGACCTTTTAGCGTGGAGATTCTACCTGCCTTCGTGGCACAGCTTGGCACGTGACGTTACCTTTTGGAGGTGTCGTCCAACAGGGATAGTCCTCCGCCCTATCAGCAGCCACTCGGTATCGGATGAGGCAGAAACCGCTATTTCATTGGTTACATTTGTGCGTTGCGGAGTCAGCAAGCAGGAATGTTCTGCCAGCGCAGCACACAATACTGTCACACTCGCAGGTGAAGAACAATCGTGAGCCTCTGACGGACGTGTTCTCGACAGTTGCAGCTGACGACGAAACGGAAAATGATGAATTTCACCCACCATCCAGAGCCCTGTGAATGTTTCATCTGCCCTTCTTTTGAAATTTCCTGCCTGGAGCCAATCAAGCAGCCTGATATCCAACTTGCCCAGAACAAATAATCCCAACAAGCCCGTTCCGTCAAGTAGCGTGACAAGAAACCTCTCGGCGTCGGTGCTTCGTCTCCTGTATCCCCATCCTCACCACTCTCCTCTCTCCCAGCGTTGCCCTTATCCCTCGGATTCTCCTTACCCTCTGCGACGTGCCCGAGGAACTCCTCTCCTTTCCTCGCCTCTCAGCACCACTGGTCCCAACCATACCATCAATGCCAAGCACTTCGCTACCACACCTGTGTCTACTGCATTGTGTGAGCCCTACTTGAGAGTACCTGAGCCCAGCAGCTCCTGTCCCCTCTCCAGTTATTGGTGTCCAAGAACCAAGTCAACCTGTCAAAACTGTATTTTGTGGTGTGCGTGTATCTTGATAAAAATAAATTGGAATTGGGTCACCTCTGCTATCTGCATGACGCTTATCCATCTATACCGAAAGTACAAGCGGTGGAACCCAGTGCATCCTACGGTCGGCGCTTTCTGGGGATTCGGCCTCGGCTTGGGGTGCGGCGTGGGATGGGGTCCGGGGTTCGGTCCAGAGGTGGTCGGATACGTGGGTGCGGGGTGCGGCGTGGGCTTTAACATTGGGGTCACTCTCATCGGCATCGGAATTGGTCTCCCCGCCAGCGATTTCGCGAGATTGCCATGCGATGGTACGCAGAGCAGAATTGACGCTTTGACTTGTTCTGTTTTTTTTTTCTTCCTTTTTCAACAGCTGCACTTACGCTTGAATCTCATTGCTGCGCCTGTAACCTTCTTTCTTCCTTTCTCTCCTCGCAGCTGCTTTCTACGCGGGGGACAAGGCCGTCAAGTTCGCCGGCGGGACGGTTGTTCCCGCGCTGGACGTGGCGGCGAGGAGCGGGTGGCAGCACGCCGTCAACGGCACATCGTCGTGGCGCCAGTCGCTCAAGCAATGGGGCCCTTGCGTGGAGCTCGAGAACAGGTGGCAGCAGCACAACATGGCGTTCCAGGATTTCTGGAAGGCCGCTGCGTCCACCGTGCTGGCTGCTCACACCGTCGAACGAGCCATCATGCGCAGATAACGACGACTCAGCCGGCGTGAATTGCGGGGATAATGCAAGCGCGGAACAGATGGTCACGTGATTTTTTTTTTTAAGTTTGAAGGAGTTATCCCGCTGCAAGGCTGTACCAGCAACTGACTAGAGCAGCGCCAACAAGGGCAAGGACTGCTGCAGGCAACGGCAACGGCAAAGCTGTACCAACAGGCACTAGCATCACAGGCACGAGCTCAGGCACAGGGGCAACCAGCATGCGTTCTCCCCATTGATTCAGTTTGTTTCGATTTGTTGCCCTTACCCCGTTCCCTTCCAACCAGATGTTTGTCATGCTTCTGCTAGCTCCTGCTGTCCAAACTGTGATGCTTTGCATGTGTATAAATGTGTTGTAAGCTCTCAATCCCTGATGTCAAAGTGCTATGATAAATAAGAAAACTCCGCTGTAACGCTTAGGGTACATTCCGCTGTGGACATGTCCCAATCGATGTGTCCCAATCGTTTCTACCGCACTGCATCGTATTACACCAATTTGCACCCTAGTTTCGAGATTTTCGCGTCTCTGGTTTAGTTCGGTTCGGAGCGGTACACTCGATTGGGACACATCGATTGGGACATGTGTCCACAGCGGAATGTACCCTTAGTAGCCATGAATGGCATCATTGCCAGACCACTGGCTATCAAAGTCAGTGAAATGAATGCCAAAGAGGAACACCTCAAGCTCCTCCCAGCAGCTCGCATCAAGCAGCGTCCATGGTGCCACCTCCATCACACGGCGGGCACCCACACACCCCTCCCCATTCACTTTCGCCTCTCCCGCCGCCCCTTGCTGCATGTGCAGCAGAGCCAGCGCCACCAGTGGCAGGCGGTGGACACCAAAGGCCTGGATGACCCTTTCTAGACTGGATGCCCCACCTGCCATCACCACGCCCACCTGTGCTCGCAGCAGCGGCAGCAGGTCTGTTGTGCTGTCTCCGATGAACAGCGAGGGAGGAAGGGCAGGAGACATGGGGGGGTCGGATGGTGATGCTGCTGCTGCCATCCCTGAGCTTGGTACTGCTGATGCTGGTGCTGCCGCCGCTGGTGCCGCTTCTGATGCTGATGCGGGTGCCGCCTCATTGCCGTGCTTTGAGGTGGTGTGTGGCAGTGTGTCGTGGGTGAGAGCATGGAAGATAACATCCTTATCCATGGCGCCCTGCACCTGGAAGTTCACAGCACCTGTGGACACACCGCGCTCATCAAACTCCATCTCATTCGCTCTCACCACCACTCTGCTGCCCATTCCTGCTCCTCCCTCCGCCCCCCCACCACTGCACATCTTCTCTCCGCACTCTGTCTCCCCCTCCTTTCCTTCTGCCTTGTCTTCTTGCGTCCCCTCCTCACCCCTCTTCCCCCCTGCCATCCGCATGGCATGCCTCACAGCCTCCCCCACATACGCCCCACTCCAGCTCACAGATACCACCTGCACCACACCACCCTCCCCCTCCACTCGCCGCAGCACTCGCCCACATCCAGACCTGAAGCTCCCCCGGCCCTGCCCCACCCCTTCCCCCTCCGCCACGTCAGCAGCCTCCCTGGCCGCTGCCAGCATGGCGTTCCGGGGGATGCCCTGCAGGGCGGCGACACCAGTCACGCGCTGATTGGCCGCGGCCTCGAAGGAGGAGAGGCGGTGGAGAAAGGGGAGGAGGCCGGGAGGGAGGTGGGCGGGGGTGCTGCCGGCGGTGCTGCTGCTCCCCCTGCTTTCATCCCGTCCCTGCTTGCTGCTTCTGCTGCTGTTGCTGTTGCTGCTACTGCTGCTGTCCCTGTGAGCATGAGTGGGTGGCAGATGGGCGTGCATGAAGTCAGAATAGTCCCGCACATACTGCTGCACCAGGTCGTCCCATACCTGCTGCCTGCTGCCACCACACTCACCACCACCAGCAGCAGCTGCATCATCGTTGGTAGAAATGCCCTTACTGGCGGGAGCGGCGTGGGCGAGGGCAAGGCGGGCGAGCAGGGCACTGGAGTCGTCCACGGTGCACGTGCCGTCAAAGTCCACTGCAAACACCACGCCCGCTGCTGTCCCCTCACCGCCCGCCTCCCCTCCTCCTCCTGACGCCTCCCTGCCTGCCCTCGCCCCTTCCTGGGAAGCAAGGTGGAAAAAGCCCGGCCATGCAGGGAGGGAGGGTGGGGCGTCGGACGCGTGGGGGGGCGGCAGCGGCGGCGGTGGTGTGGCAGGGAAGGGAGCGAGCTGGGCGTGGAAGAAGGAGAGCTCCAGCTGCATGGCTCTGCTGTATACCCGCGATAGGTGCTGCTCTGCCACGTGCTGCTGCTGCTGCAGTTCCATAGTGGATGAGGGCGCGCACGAGGGGTGCAGGGAGCGCAGGTGGAGCGACCAGAGGCGGTCGAATGCCGACTCCAACAGCGCTGCTGCTGCCTGCAGCGGGCAGGGCAGCATGGGGAGGGGGTTGCAGCACCGCAGGCATGGTGGAGAGGCAGTAAGGAGGGAATGAGGAGTGGTGTGGCGTGGCACTCCATGACACCGTGCCATTGCATATCCCACTCCCACAGCATGGAGTCACTTTTGACAACTCTCAAGAGATTCTGAGTCCATCATGGCAGCACACGAGCATCACAGCGGTGCAGCCTCACCTCAAAGCCTGGGCACGAGTAGGTGTGCAACCACTGGCCGTACGGGTGCCACCGCCACTCCTCCGACACACCCCCCCTGCCCTTCACCCCCACCTCGTTGCTTCCCCCTCCTCCCCTTTCCCCATCCTCCGCTCCACCCACTCCCCCTGCTGCTGCAGCGTGCAGCCCCCAGGCAGCGCCGCCCATGGTGTGTCCGATTGAAGCGTAGAGGCGCATGCAGGGCAGCATGGCGGCCAGCACACACAGCGTGTGCCACCGCCGCGCTGCGGGGGATGAGCGATCGCTCTCAGCTATCCAGTCAGCAGGCCGTGAGAGGACCACCAATTCGCTGCTGCTGCTGCAGCTGCTGCTGTGGGGCACATGGTTGTGGTGACTCCCCTGCTCGCACGCATGTTGCCCTGCGCTGCTCTCGTCCTGCTCGACCCGTGACCCCAGCCCATGGGAGTCCCACACGCCGCTCGTCCCCGCCACCACGTGCGAGAGGAACGACGTGTACTCTAGTGTGGCAGGCAGGGGGGCACTGTCCGCCGTGACGTCAGCAGTGGCGTCAGCAGCCTGTGAGTCGCTTGACTCCTCGATCCATGCCTGCCACACGTGGCGGGTGTGGTGTGGTGCGGTGCGGTGCGGTGAGGAGCGATTGAAGAGATGCGATGTTTCTTGGGGAACATGCGCGGGTGCATGTATGCGCGCATGGGTGGATCGGTATTTGCAAGCATGCATGACAGCACGACAGCACTGAGCAAGGTCGAACGGTGTACCCACCTTGACAGTAGCAGCATGCATCTGCAGCTCCCCATCCGCTTCCCTCTGCAGTCGCTGCAGCACCGCCCGCACACTCAACTCCTCCTCCCCTTCCGCCGCCCCATCCTTTCCCCCCGCTCCCCCCGTGCCGTCCTCCTCACCCCCATCCAGTAGTGACGCTGCCGCGCCGTACCTACCCATGCCATGCCACGCCACGCCATACGGTGGCATGCGATGCAGTCAAGGCAATGTGGGCCGGACATGGGAGGACAAGGTAACGAGTGAGACGCGCAGCAAGCAGCAACGCCTCAGACCACTCAAAGACCCAATGACGCAGGCAGGGCGCACTCACGAGTGAGCGAAGGCGGAGAGGAAGAAGGCGTCCTGCAGGGAGTAGCGCACGAAGCGCCGCCGCGGCAGCGTGCCCGCGCCCAGCGCCAGCACGAACGGGTGATACGCCGCCGCCTGCGCCACGCGCTGGCTGCGCGCGTCCCGCCACAGGCGGAGAGAGAGTGGCGCGCGGGGAGTGGGGGGTGGGGGAGGGGGAGAGTTGGGGGAGGACGCGGCGGGAGCGGCGGTTTCGGGCGGCGGAGCGGAGGAGGGCAGCGGAGACGCGGCCATGGGCGGAAGGGGCGCGGATGGTTGGTGTGGGGAGGGAAGGGAGGTGGAGGCTGACGTGGCAGCCGGGTACTTGGATGACGTGGCTTGAAATCCAGATGTTTCGGAGGGGATCGAGGAGAATGGTCGGAGCGGCAAGCGTGGAATGCGCGATGCGCGGAGCGGGGAGGGCGCAAACGCGGATCCGCAAGAATGCGTGGCTGCGACTGCGACAGCCTTTGCCGCCGGGAATGGCGCTGAAAGGAGCGTCGTGACGTGGCAGAGTAGGCGGCAGCAATGCAGCCTTGCGGACACGCGCGATGCGACGACGCGCGCAGTCGTTGCGCGGGAAAGCGGCAGACGCGCAGCGCGATGCATCGGCTGGCGCGAAGTGCGAGGATGGTCGATATGAGAGGGCTAGGGTGGGGCGTTGCGCGGATGGTCAATTGCGCATACAGAACAAATTCGCGCCTTCTACACCGAAACTGCGATAGATTCCGTACCCTTTATCTGAACGCCCTGGGTACCTACCCTCGAAAAACCGATTTCGAAGGTAGTTAGCAGCGCTCGAAGAATTTTCAGGGTTAATGTAACACAATCTCAATGCGAGCTTAACAACGCAGGAACAATCTGGCACTGGAATTTTCCCCGCTCACTCGAACTACAAAGTTCGAGTTTCGAAAGGTCTTGACCTGGTGGTTATTTCCTGATAGACCCGGAATGTCAGGGCGTCCGTCTCATCAAAGCTTCAACCATATAGGGTGTCTCGGAAGAATCAAGGTTCAGGGTGTGGAAATATCGGAGAACAGGTGTATACGGCCCCCAAGCACAAGCCCCCACACGAATTAACAACTGTTATGAGAATGCCTGTCACTTCGCAAATGTTATCTGTTCGCAACGCAAAAAAAAAAAAAAAAAAAAAAAAAAAAAAAAAAAAAAAAAAAACAGAAATGTAAGATTCTCTATGCATGCACCTAAAAAGGACCACTTTAGAGACTATCGCGGAGGTCACGAGCCCGCTATATGGAACCCTTCTACCTTCTTTATCACCTCCTCCGTTGCCCCCACCCTCACCACCCCACTCACTCCATTGCACTCTCCACCCTCCCCTTTCCCACCAGCACCAGCAGCATCAGCACCACTAGCAACGCCATCAGCAGCACTACCAGCAGCACCAGCAGCAGCACCTTCAGCAGCAGTAGCGGGGGCAAGCTTCCAGATGCGGATGGTGCCGTCTTCTGAGCCCGATGCGTAGGAGAGTGCATCGGGGGCAAAGCGAATGCAGTGCACTGGGCCGTGATGGCCCTTGTGACACTCTGATGGGGGGGAAGGAGGGGGATGGGGAGGAAGGAAGTTTTGAATCGCATTTGCAGCAAAGCGGGGAGAAAGAAGCCGAAGGAAGAGAGGAAGGACGGTTTGAGTTGACTTGATTAAGCAGATGCAGTGCATTGGCGTGGTGGCCCCTGTGGCACTCCGGGGGAAGAGAGGGCATGGTATGCATGGTGGATAATATGGGATGGTGGATGGAATGGCATGGCACATGGCACATGGCACCCCGTACCTAGCTGCTGGCCCGTCTCATAGTCGAATACCCGCACCCACAGGTCCTCACCGCCCGCCACAAACCTGCCATGCACGCACACACACACACAGGGCAGATGGAGCAGATGAAGGTGTTGGCGAGATGAGGGGAATGGCATGATATATTCAAGGCAGTGGCGAGAGGGACCATGAAACAGGTTTACAACATGGCGGAAGGAGTATTGGGGAGATAAGGGTAAGCACCGCAGAAAGCATCATGCATGCACAAAGAAACAGTTTGAATCGACTACAAGTGGAACAAGGATGTGTCAACAAGGATGTGTCAACAAGGACCGGCGAGAGCAGCAAGCGGGAGAGCAAGAGAGCATGGATACTTTTGGATTATCGGCTCGCTGCAAGAAAGTCTGCATGCGCTGGGCGGGTGGGGCATAGCAACAGTCTGATGCATCACAAGACCGCACTGCAAAGCATAGCACCGCATTGCACAGCACAGCACGGGGGTGGAAACAACATGGCACTCACCGATTGGTTGACGGGATGTAGGATGCTGACTCAGCCTGATGTGGCAATCGATGTGACTTGACCTCTTGAAGCCTGCAGCACGTGGTGGCATGGATGCATGGTGGGATGGTAAAATGAGATGGCATGGTAGCATGGAGGCATGGAGGCACGTTAAGCGACAGCTACAGGAGCAGCAAAACACGGAGGGGTGGAGGGGAGGCGGATGGGAAACGAATGAGAGAGCATAAGAAAACAATGGGGCCGCCTCCTTGGGGAATAAGGGATTCGCCTGCATGGGCGTCAGGCTCTTGACAGTAGAGCCACTTCGAAAGAAAGAATCTTGGACGGAGAACTATAGGGTTTGAAGAATAATAACGAAGCAGCCTCCCTGAGGATGAAGGGGTCGTACGAGGGCGCGTCGAAGATCTTGACCGTGGAGCCATCCGCCGTGGTGATGAGGGCAGGACGGCGGAATGGTGACATGGATGCATGACGGCATGAGACGAGTAATGCACGAAAGCAATGGCGCATTAAGGTTGGTGCGTACGAGCGCGCATCGAAGATCTTGACAGTGGAGCCATCAGCCGTGGTGATGAATGCGCTGCCCCCCGCCCCACCACCACCGGTAGCAGCAGGTGAGATGTCCATGCTGAGACACGCGCCGTCCGTTGCCATCACGCCCACCACGTCTTTGCTGCGCGCATCAAACACCCTGAAAGGGGGGGGGGGGGGGGGGGGGGGGGGGGGTTGGGGAGAGGGAGGAGGGAGAGCGAGAGTGGGGAGCGGATGGTGGTGAGAGGCATGGTGGGAGTGAAGCAGAGAGACGGAGAGCAGCAGGCGACAAGTCACACTTGGATGTTTGGACACACACAGAGCTCCACCATCCCTAGGCGCTCAACCCAACCCAACCCAACCCAACCCAACCCAACCCAACCCAACCCAGCCCATCCCCTGAGGGCCAAACCCCCTCCTGAACCCACTTGACGCCCGCCACGTCATTGCAGGTGACGAGGATCCAGCGGTCGTCGTTGTGCCACCTGGCGCAGCGCACAGGCCCCGCCATACCCTCCAGCGACAGTGTGGGGCCGGCGTCGGGGCGAGCCAAGTCAAACACTCGCACCACCTTCTCTGCTCCGCCCGTCAATAGCTGTCGGGAGTCCTGCGATGACCAACATCAGCGCCGGGATCAAGGTATGGGGGCAGGAGAGTAGAAAGGGGATGGAAGCGGGAAAGATGGAGCAAGCGTGGTGAAAAGCGTGCGTCAGTTGTGCGTTTCAAGGCGTCTGTGCACCCTCGCAGCGCACGGGCCCCGCCATGCCCTCCAGCGACAGCGTGGGGCCGCCGTCGGGGCGAGCCAGGTTGAACACTCGCACCACGTCCTCTGCCCCGCCCGTCAACAGCTGACGTGAGTCCTGATAGGCGCACACGATGCACGCAGAGTGAAGGAGGGGAGACGGGAATGGTAAGGGGAGGGAACGGGGAGGGGTGGAGCGAAAGTGGGAAAAACGTGCGTCATAAGGGCGTGTGGCCTACGGAACCAGGACGATCATTTGCTGCTCTCTGCATTGCAACCCCAGGGCACTGCTGCAAGTCGCCCAGATGGTGCGACTCTGTGTGACGACCGCTAGGCCCGGAATGTCATGGTCATGGCATGGCATGTGAGAGAGCAGCAGCAAGCTGACCTGGGACAAGTGCACGGTGCGCACCATGTGCTTGTGCTCTGAGCCGACTCAGACGAGCAGAATGAAATGGCATGGCAGCGGCACCAAGCGCACTCACAGAGGAGAGGGGATCGGACCTTTGAGAAGTCGACGGTGCGCACGATGTGCTTGTAGGGAGTTTTTGAGAATTCTCAAAAACTCACAGAGAAGAGGGGATCGGACCTTTGAGAAGTCGACGGTGCGCACGATGTGCTTGTGCTCCAACTTGTGCTTCTCGTCGCCCGTCAACGCGTCCCAGATGCGCCTGGTGGGGGGGCGGGAGAGAGGAGGAAGACGCGGAGATGCGCGCATGTGGGGTTTGGGGACGGCGGAGCGGAAGCGAAGCGCACATGAGGTGGGGGGAAGAGGAATGGGGAGAGGAGTGGGATGAGGTGTAAGAACGAGGCACGTAATAGCGGGGACGGGCTTGCAAGGAAGGGGATAGGAGTTGGGGGGATGAGGAGGAAATCCTGCTCCGTACGTGCGTAGCCGTGTCCCAGTAGTCCCTACCACTCTGTACCACTCTCGCTGCTGCCCGCCCAGCCAATCAGCCCAAAGCATCGCTTCCGCTCCCCAATGCCGGCCCCATCTCCCTCTTCCCCTTAGTTCCCCCCTACGCGGTGAAGTTGGCGGAAGCGTTGGCGGCGACCAGCGCCCTATCCTCCCAATCCCCCATCCCACGCCCCAACGCCCCCTCCCAGCCCCCCCTCCCCTTCCCCCCTGGATCCCCCGCATCGTACGCGGTGAAGTCGGCGGAGGCGGTGGCGGCGAGCAGCGCGGGGCGGTCGAGGCAAGCGCCCCACACGGCGCCCTTGTGCCCCTCGAACGTGCCGATCCAGTCGCCCGTCTCGCCGTTGCGGATCATCGGCTTGCCGTCTGCGCGCACGCGGGGGATGGGTGGTGAGCGGGGAAGGGGAAATGGCGTGTGAGGGCTTGCCGTTTGAGCGCGCGGGAGAACCGGCGAGGAGGAAAGAGTTATGTGAGGACTCGCCGTCGCGCGCGGAGAGAGAGGAGTGGGTGCAGCGCGAAGGGCGCGCGGGACATTACTGGGTGAGAAGGAGGGGGAGGAGGGGGGGCGGGGGGGGGGGGTCGCGGACCTTTACTGGCGGAGAGAGAGGAGGGGGGGGGACCTGTACTGGCAGAGAGGGGTGGGGTCGCGCGAACCATTACTGGCAGAGAGAGGGAGGGGGGGTGGGGCGCGCGGACCTTTACTGATGGAGAGGGAAGACGGGGGGAGAGGAGTGCGGCGAGCGGACCTTTACTGGCGGACAGGGGGGCGCGCGCACCTTTACTGGCGGAGATGAGGAAGAAGCCGTCGTCGGTGATCGGGCTGTACGCGATCTCCACAATCGGCCGCGAGTGCCCGTGGCACACCAGCGGCGCCTGCGCCGCCGCCGCCGCGGACGGCGCGAGCGACGACCCCGACCCCACGCGCTTGCGCTCCATGCTGCCCGACAGGTGCGACTGCGACGGCAGCGACATTCCGTTGCGACTGCTGCGATCGCCGCGCTCGTAGCCTCGCCCGCTCTGGTCGGTGTCGACCTAACCGCGAGACTACTTCCGCTGGTGATACGGCTGCTCGCTGTTTTCTGAGTCCACAAAGATTCGAGGGTTTTCGTGGCCGTGACAGGCGGTGCTGGCTAGGTAATTGCGAAGCGAAGTCGGCCGAATAGAATAAGACACGAGCTGGGGTTCTCAACGCGTGAAGTGAGAGAATCTGAATTCGAATGCGAATCTGATACGATGTCTGACTGCGACCACATGGGAGACGCACGTCACATGATCCCCCAAAAACTGGGTTTCACCACGCACTACTGCCCTAAGTACGATATAATATCTTAGACCTAACCTGCTGTTTGGTTGGTAGTGACTAACACGAAAGCTTAGGTTTTTGGTGTGCAGCGAGCTGGCGGAACGAGGAGCGGGAGGAGCGGATAGGGGGGGGGGCACGGAAGTTGACCAGGCGGGCAGGGTTGGCGTAAGGCAGGCGGCTCTCGCGGGGGTTCGCTGGATCTGACGCGCGGAGTGAAGAGATCAGGGGGAGTGACGTGTCAAGGGTGTTGTACGACTTTCGAAGACATATGCTTGTAACGGGAACTCGAGTGTAAGTCTTCATGAGCCTTAATACGGTGTGGCTTAAACAGATAAAACAATAGCTGATTCAAAGAAAGGACAAAGTCCTAGGCTTTGGTGTCCTTTTGAGCAACTCTTGCATGGTGCATGCGTTGAAATTACCAACAGTTAAAACTCGAATTCGCCGTTGGCTTTGAAGAAAAGTATGTCACGACCATTTAGGCTCGTGACTCCATGCCGCAACAGACACTTCCATCGATTCTTCTGGCGCGTCACCTGCATGAACACAGGGGGCATGCGGAACAACGCCAAACACAATCAACAGCCACACACAAGCAGGCGCAACAACCAGAAGCAGTAGCAGTGCCAGTGAATGTCAGAGCTCGTGAATCTATACAAACCTGCCAGGGATCCCACATCCCTCACTCCCCTCCCCACCCTCCTCAGCCCCTTTGACCCTCCCACACCCCATTCCCCTCACTCCTCCCCTCCCCCTCCTCCCCAATCTTCCCCATAAGAGGCGAGCACGATGTTGCCATCCTGCCCCTCCTCCCCTCTCCCCCTTCCCCAACACCGACTCCCCCCTTTCCCAGTACCACCTCCCCCTATCAAACCTTTTCATAGGTGGCGAGCACAATGTTGCCGTCCTGCCCCTCCTCATCTGCCCCTATGACCCCCACAACCACCATTCCACAACCCCTCGCAACCTTTCCCACTACCACCCTTCCCCATCACACCTTCTCATAGGTGGCAAGCACGATGTTGCCATCCTGCCCCTCCTCATCCGCCCCTATGACCCCCCGCCCATCGTCGTCATCATCATCATCATCCTCCGCCCCCAGCGACTCGTCATCGTCTGCTGGCCCCAGCTCCTCCTCCTCTTCCTCCTCCTTGGCTGCCCTCCCCGCACACAGCACATGCACGCACACCCCACAACACATGGAACAAACGTGTGGAGAGGTTGCAAGGTCCAGGACGAATCAGAAAGACGCAAGCACTTGCTGTGGGTTGCAGTGGAGTGACATGTCAAGGTGTGGCATAGCTGTGGCCAATGGACAGGCAACAAGTGGTGACAAGGACCACGCAATGAGCTGGCAGTGTAACGACATGAGCCATGAGCTGGCAGTGGAACGACATGAGCCATGAGCTGGCAGTGGAATGACCGAATGCCCAAGGGAAAGGATCAGAGAAACGAACCGGTGTCAGTGCGGGCTGCCGGGTCGTTGTAGTCCTCCTCTTCTTCCTCCTCCTCTGCCTCCCCTGCCGCCCCCCCCTCCTCCTCTTCCTCCTCCTCTCCCTGCAACAGCAACCACATGGCGGAACATGGGGGCGAGGAGAGTTGGGGCATGGCTGAAAAAACGCAGAAATGCAGCACCTCACTGCTAGCAGTCCGACTGTCATGGCAGGAAAGGGAGAGAGAGAGGCTCTCACTCACCTCGTCGGCTTCATCACCATCCTCCTCGTCGCCATGCCCATCCACCTGCCGCATGCACCGCCTCTCCACCACCCACTGCCTCCCCCCCCTGCCGCCCCTGCCGCTCCTGCCAACCCCCCGTCTACCACGTGCTTCCCGCCCCTCGGCTCCCCCTGCCGCTTGTTGCACCCGCCTTCCCGACCCATCCCGCCCTTCTGCTGCGCCTGCACCACCCGACCCTCCCTCCACTTCCCCATCCAATCTGCTCCTCTCCCCACTCGCCTCCTCTCCCTGTCTTCCTCCTCCACCCCCCCCATGCTTGTGCTCTAGCTGACTCAGCATGTCGTGGGCCCATCGTGAGGCACCACGTGGCATGCTGTCACTGGCTCCGTCAGCCTGAGGGAAGGCGTACTCGGGGGTGAGGCGGGGTCTGCTCGTGTCACCCTCGGCTGCATCCATCCCCGCGTCCTCCCCGTACCCGCCCGGCCCCTCCTCTGCTCGCTTGCGCTTCAGCTCTGCCGGCAGCAGACCCTGGGAGCACACACGCCCAGCACCCCGCACACACACGGTGCAGGAGAAACCAGGGGCTACGATTGAGGCACCTCAAACACAGCAGGGCCGGATCTCATTGGACCAGCTCACACTGGTCGCGGATGCACCCCGGGAGCGGAGGCGGGCAAATGCATGTGCACAACGGGATTGGTTATTCAAATGTGGTGTTCCTTCCGCAAACAAACACACACCCGCATATGCACAGATCCATTTGCAAGAGCGTGCACGGATGCACGCTAACAGCACGCACACATACAGGCCCGGCGTACCAGAGTGGCCTCGTCCGAGGCAGCAGCATCAGCGTACGTGTCCTCCTCTGGCACTGCACACACGCACAGTCGGTCACACAGAGAGCAACGGAGGTTCGGCGCGGTGGGTTTCCAAGGCGGGCAGAATTGGTGGACGCGGTGAGTGGACGGACAGGCGGGCAGGTGCGTGCATGTGGGGCGCGACGAGAGGCTAGCAGCACAGCACAGCACGCCAGCACAGCACAGAACAGCACAGCACAGCACAGCACAGCACAGCACAGCACAGCACAGCACAGCACAGCACAGCACAGCACAGCACAGCACAGCACAGCACAGCACAGCACAGCACGACAGCACAGCAGCACGACAGCAGGGCAGCAGGGCAGCACAGCAGCAGGGCAGCAGGGCAGCACAGCAGCAGGGCAGCAGGGCAGCACAGCAGCAGGGCAGCAGGGCAGCAGGGCAGAAGGGCAGCAGGGCAGCACAGCAGCAGGGCAGCAGGGCAGCAAGGCGGCGGGGCGGCAGGGCAGTGAGGCCAGTGGGGGGCACTGACCGGCGTTCATGTCGACCATGAAGGGCTTCTGCTCCCACGCCTCCTGGCGCGGCTGTTAGCGCGGACAGGAAGGGGGGACAGGGAACAAATCCGTGGGTTGGCATGTGCAGCACCACTCAGCTGAACGTGTAGTGTGATGCGTGATGTGTGACATGGTACGAGGCGGATGGATGCCAGGTGCATGCATGGGTGGTGCATGTGGCATACCATGAAGGGCAGTGGGCGGCCATCTAGACTGGATGTGACATGCCCGCTTGAATACTGGGGTGCCGCGCGAGAACAAGGGAGGGAGGGGCCATGCACAGCAGGGAGGGAATGAGAGGAGTGAAACGAGGGGCGCAGCAGAGGTGTGGGAGAGGGGGCGCATGCTGCTAGATGTGATGGCACAGGGAGCAAAGCACCAAAAACGAATTCACACGATTTGAAGGGGTATGTGTAAACAGAACCGCCCTAAATAACGTCCATTCAAAGCATTAACAACCAACCAAGGCGTTGATGTATTTACCAGGTAGCTGGGGCCTTACCGATGCGTGGGATGCAGGTAGCTGGGGCCTTACCGATGCGTGGGATGGAGGTAGCTGGGGCCTTACCGATGCGTGGGATGGAGGTAGCTGGGGCCTTACCGATGCGTGGGATGCAGGTAGCTGGGGCCTTACCGATGCGTGGGATGCAGGTAGCTGGGGCCTTACCGATGCGTGGGATGCAGGTAGCTGGGGCCTTACCGATGCGTGGGATGCTCCCAGCGACAGGGCCTGCTCGTCCTCCGCCTCTCCACCATCCCCGCTATAAGGCATGTTCAAATCATGTCCCGCGAATCCCCCTCCGTGTCCCGCGCCCTCGCCACCCTCCTCCCCTCCGGCCTCCTCCGCCGCTGCTTCCGCCTCCGCCCCCCCTAGCGGCCCCTCCTCCGCCTCCCCCGCGCCTACATCCACCTCAGCGGCCGGCGGCGCAGGCGGCGGAAGCACATACCCGCCAACAGGGATGACCGCACCCGACTGCATCACCTTCGCCTCCCATAGCTGACCGGGGTAGCCGAGGGAGGGGAAGAAGGGGGGAAGTGGGGAAGGGGGGGGGAAGAGGGGAAGTGGGGAAGGGGGGGGAAGGGGATAAGGGGGGGAGGAGAAAGGGGGAGAGGGGAATAAACGTAGGGAAAGGTTGTGGTGGCCGCGGGGGGTGCGGCGACAGATATGTCAGTCGCCGAGAAACGGGTTGTGACTGAAGACAGGAAAGAGGGCCATAGGAAGGTAAAGCACGGTCAGCGGCGGGCATGCCGCGGTAGCGCCGAAAAGGGTGTCCGGTATGACCGCACTGAAGGGGCGCGCAGTGAGCGACGGGAACAGCAGCGATGGACCTAAAGGGGGGACGGTAGCGCTGAAAAAGGAAACCATGAGCACTGATCAGACGAGCGATATGCAGTGTGTTTCGGACGGTTTATTCAAAAGCAGGCTGTGGTGGCGAGGAACAGGAGATCCAGCACGCACTGAAGGGACGAGATATGGAGAACGGCAAATCTAACGAGCGAGCGACGGACCTGCTGCGAGCGATGGACCTGCTTCGAGCGACGGACCTGCTTCGAGCGACGGACCTGCTTCGAGCGACGGACCTGCTTCGAGCGACGAACCTGCTTCGAGCGACGGCCCTGCTTCGAGCGACGGACCTGCTGCGAGCGGGGGAGACGGACGGGCCTGCTGCGAGCGGGGGAGACGGACGGACCTGCTGCGAGCGGGGGAGACGGACGGACCTGCTGCGAGCGGGGGAGACGGATGGACCTGCTGCGAGAGACGGACCTGCCGCAGGGGAGACGGACGCACCTGCTGCAGCTCTTGGAGGACGCTCTCGTCGACGCCGTCGCTCTGGAAGTCGGGTCGAACGTTCTTAATGACGTCCTGGATGACGTGCAGGTAGATGTGCGTCACCGCCGACGACATGCTCGCAGCTCGCCGCTCAATTCGGCAATCAGATCTTTGTCGGGGCTCTACAGTCAATCATAGTACTCCAACGCGACGCGATACACAGGAAAACAAAAAAATGGCAACACGTCGTTCAGGCGTAAACAGTAAACTATAAGATACTGTCAGACGGCCATGGCCCCAGGCACACTACGAATTGCTGTTTGTCTGCTCAAGTCTGCATGATAGCAGCAGCAGCAGTGATGTTCAGTTTCTCCTGCAGAATGAGGATGAGAATGGAAGAATGGAATGGCGGGGAAAGGGTTTGACAGTGGTGGTCTTGTGAAGGAGAAGTAGGGGTGGGGTCACATATTTATGCGTGCTGCCCGTGATCGCTTCTGCCGCAATGACCGATCGGATTGCGCCGTGTGGCAGTCAGTGGACTATGCGGTGTACAGCGGGGTGCGAGTCGCTGCTGGACCAATCAGCAGACAGCGACGCTTGGGCTGATCTCATGGCCTTCTCGGTGACTGAACCAGAAACCAACTTGACAATCGCCGACTTGTCGCAACGTCGCATGGGGCTCGTCGACCTTCCCGTACCACAGGCACCAACTGTCGTATTTAGTGTTTGCTACACCCTCCCAAACCTGATTCAACCCATCGTTACCCTGAATTATGAATGATTATGAGGGATGACTGATTAGTGAAAAATCTTATGTATATATGTTACGGGTGCAATCGAGTGAACGAACGAAGATTGCACTATCGAAGCAAGAGTACAATGAGCGAAGGCATGAGCGAAGGATTATATAGCGAAACTATAGTGGTAACGGTAATGGACTGTGGTTGTCGCGCGACGGGCCTGGGACAGAGGTTGGGAAAAGTGTCGAGGCGGAGGTCCGGAGCGCGGGTTACCGCCGAGCCGTGAGGTCGGGGTGCGACATGCGAAAAATGGCGGGCGGATTATTGATGCGAGTGGTAACGGTGCTTACTGAGGTGCTACAGTGATATACGCGTTGAGCGGGGATGCGAAGTAAGGAAAAGGAATTTTCCTTACACTACCCCCCTCCCCAAGGAGGCCCCTCTTACGAGAGCGCATGGACGTCGCGGAAATTTCGGCTTCGCAGGTACTCGGTGAAGACAGGGTAGTTCTCGATTTTATCCAGGGGGACCCAGTTGTCTTCTGTGGGCGTTCGATCCTTCCAGCGAATTAGGAACTCGATCCTTCGGGCTCCCCGAGGGTCGCGGACTCGGTGGCTGAGGATTTTTTCAGGGGTGATGATTGGTTCGGTTGGGGGGCGTGTCATGCTGGCTGGGCGAAGCTTTGGGTCGTCGCACGTGGCCCGGATGAGCTGCTCCATGGTCTGGTTTGTCCGTTCTGTCTGTCCGTCCGTTTCGGGGTGGTACGAAGAACTGAACTGTAGTCGCGTGCCAAACTGCTGCCACAGGTTCCGCCAGAAGTTGCTGGTGAATTTCGTGTCGCGGTCGCTGATAATTGCCGATGGTATCCCGTGGAGGCGAACAACGGTGGCGATGAAAAGGCGGGCTGTTTCTTCGGTTGTGATTGATTTCTTGCAAGCTGCGAAATGTGCCATTTTCGTCAGTCGATCGACGACGACCAGGATCGCGTCGTTCCCACTCGCCCCGGCCGGTAACCCCGAGACGAAATCCATCGTCACCTGCTGCCAAGCACGCTCTGGGGGTGGAATCGGCTGCAACTGTCCTGCCGGCCGCTTCCGTGATGATTTCATGACCTGGCAGGTGGGACACGACGCCACGTGTCGTTGGATGTCGGTCAACATTTCTGGCCAGTAATAATACCGCTGCAGCTGCTGCCGTGTTTTTTCTACCCCGAAATGTCCCGAGGTAACTCCGTCGTGTGCCTCCTGTAACAGTAATTCCCGTAGTAGTGTATACCCGGGTACCCAAATGCGGTCGGTCCCGGCTTTTACGTAATAGACCCCTCGTGCTGCTGCGAACTGCTGCGAATTGCCTCCGGTGAAGAATGGGTCTGTTTGATATCCGTGGGTAAATAGTCCTGTCAGTAGTGGGCTAGTCTGGGCGAGTAGTATTGCGTGGATTTGGGCAGTGGGGCAGGTCAGTGCGTCGGCAATGTTGGACGCTCCCTTTTTGTAGGTGACCGTGTAATGGAAATTCGACTCTAGAAAGTCGAGCCAGCGGATCTGTCGTGGGTTGAGGTGGGGTTGTGCGCGGAGATACTGTAGTGATCAGTGGTCTGTCCGTACTGTCACGTCTGCGCTGGTCAAGTAACAGCGCCACACTTTGAACGCATGCACGATCGCAAGCATTTCGCGATCGTGTATCGGGTAATTTTTCTCAGGTGGGTGCAGCTTTCGTGATTCGTATGCGATGGGCTGTAGGCCGTTCCTGAAATCCTGTAGCAGTACGGCTCCGATGGCGATGTCGCTTGCGTCAGTAATGACTTCGAATGGGCGGTGTGGGTCGGCAATGCGCAGGACAGGCGGTGAACAGAGAACATTTTTCAGGGTAGAGAAGGCAGCATGCTCTTTCTCCCCCCACGTAAAAACGACCCCCTTCCGTAGCAGATCCGTCAGTGGGGCAGTTAAGCGTGCCATGTTGGGGACGAACCGACGGACGTAATTAACAAAACCCAAAAAACTCTGCAGCTCCGTGATGTTTGTCGGGGGGTGCCAAGCTTTGACCGTATCCAGCTGCTTCGGGTCAATCTCAACCCCAGCCTCCGAAATAACGTGCCCCAAAAATTCTAACCTATCCTGAAAGAACTCGCACTTAGACCCCTTGGTCAATAACCGATGCTCCTCTAAAATTTTAAACACTGCTTCCAGGTCCGCTAAATGTTGCTGCTTATCGCGGCTGTAGACGAGAATGTCGTCGAGGTAGACTATCACACACTTATCTAAAAGTGGTCTAAACGCCTCGTTCATGGTCATCTGGAATGTGGCAGGTGCGTTGGTCAGCCCGAAAGGCATCACGGTATACTCGAACGACCCGTACCTAGTCCTAAAAGCTGTCTTGGCGCAGTCCGATGGTTCGACTCTAATCTGGTGGTAACCTCCCCGTAAATCTATCTTCGAGAACACCCGTGCTGTTCGCAGCTGGTCGATCAGTTCGTCGGCGCGGGGAATGGGGTATCGTGACTTCACTGTAACCCTGTTGAGCGCTCGGTAATCGATGCACATGCGAAACCCTCCATCTTTTTTTGGTGTGAATAGTATCGGTGCGGCGAACGGGGACGAGCTCGGTCGGATAAACTGCTTCGCTAACAGGTAATCTAACTGCTTCCTCAGTTCGTCGAGCTCCGGCTGTGTCAGTCTGAACTGGCGCTGTACAGTTGGCTGTGCCCCCGGCTCTAACTCTATCCTATGGTCGTGCGCCCGCTAAGTGGCAGTCCTTCCGGTAAGTCGTCGGGGAAAATCCCCGGGTACCGTTTCAATAGCTCCTGTAGTTCAGGCGGTACCGCTGTCAGCAGTTTCTGAAAATCACTCGGCTGCTCAGCTTCTCCTACCACTGCGATGTCCACTGCATACACGTCAGCTCCAGCGGCGACTGCCCGTTTCATTGTTATGGCGTTGACGTGGACCGTCGACGACTCAGGCGACTGCCAGCGTGGTAGTTCGACCCAGTTACCACTACTTCGCACAGTGCAGCTGCCTGTCGTCCAGTCGATTCTCCGGTTGTAACGTCGCAACCAATCACGTCCTAGTAAAATGTCGTGCCCATCCAGCGTCGTCGCGAGCATTTCTTGTGTAAACCCGAAGTTCCCTCCGCAGCGAACTTTTACTCTCTCTCCACCTTCTCCCGTATGGCCAGCGGCGTGCCGTCGACTAAGCGTGCATAAATCTCAGGTAAGCACCGGCTAAGTGTTAGTTGAAGTTTCCGTGCGGTCGCGGTATTAACTAAACTGTGACTAGCTACTCCGTCGATAAAAATCTTGACTGCTGCTCCCTGTATTTTCCCGTGGATCAGTACTGGGCAATCCGTCGCTGTACCCTCCTTATTCATCCGAGCCCGATCGATAGCGTGGATCGGTACTGTGACTCGGTGAGGGTCGTTGTGGTTGGGCGAGCAGGCAGTCTCGTCAGTAGTCGGCCCAATTTCTACTGACTGCTGGCGTTTCCCTGCCTCTGAGACTCCCTCCCTTGCTCTGCTCCGCGGCGCCTTAGCTCCTCTGGACACTCACTTTTACGATGGCCCGGCCTGTTGCAAGCGAAGCAGCGCCCCTTGAATGGTGCGGCAGCTGCATTCGTCACAACGGCGTGTACGGTGGCGTGCTCGATCGGTCCTCGAGGACGATGTCCGTAGTAGGACCCCGGTCTCGGACGGCGCAAAATGTCGATTTTCTCGGCGATCGCGAGAATCTCGTTGAAATTCGAGAGTCCGCGTAGCATTATTTCCTGCGAGATTTCCGGCTTTAGCCCTCCGACGTAACGGTCCACCCGCTCCGCTTCGTGCATGTAGCCGACCTGCTCGCATAATGCGAGAAAACCGCTCGTGTAGTCTTGAACCGACCCGAGCTGCCGCCAAGTGCGCAGTTTCTGACGCGCCGAAATCGAAGCCGCGATCGGCTCGAAGCGCGCCCGAAGCCCTACGCACAACGCTGTGGAAGATAAGAAAACAGAAATAAAATGACTAACGAAAGATTGGGTACAAATACAACCCTAGAAACCCTGTACCCCATATGTGCTACCCCACTATAGCCTACAGCAACTATGTCATATAAATCTGACACACCCCCATAGGTAAAGTGGAGGAGAACAAGGGGTCACAAGACCAGTCAAGCAAAGCAAAGCAAGCTCAGGGTGGATCACAAAGTCACCACACAGTCCGAGCACAAGAGCAGGGCCAGAGGCCAGTTCACATGCAGGAGTACAGACATATATATAAAACTAGACAAGCAAGAGCAGGTATATATATATGTCACAGTACAAGTGAAGTCAAGAGGAGAGCAAGTGAGGCAAGACAGGCACAAGACCCAGCTGGGTGCAAAAGCGCTGATGGTCACAAGGCGCGAGTGCCTTGGTGAACACATCAGCA